AGCAAGATCCGTCTTCTCATCGTCCGTACGTCAAGCAGCTAATCCTCCAGCTTAATTGTTCCAGACTTGCTTCTTCATTGTCATTATGTTATGTGTACCATTCCACTCACACTCATCACCACCCAAAGGAAAGGATGGATCCAAGGCATCCAGAAATAAGAGAAGAAGGTCTCTACAAGCCTCCTTAGAGATCAGCGATTCTGGGCCGTTGGATCGGTTCTCTTGATGCGTTTTTGTCCATTGGATCAAGATCTGGAGGAATCCGGGCCGTCGGATCAAAATAAGTTACTGCTGGAATGAATAGTAACTTCCTATAACGCCTCCCACCGCTCGTTTTTTACTGTGTTTTTACCGGTCTAAAGTCGATGGCGTGTGGGTCCGTTCGCGGGTGGGCCTCGGTTGTCAGCGACCGTGGCTTGGTTCCGGCACGGTCGCCCCGTCGCGCGCGTCGGCGGGGGAAAGATTTCATGCCACCGCACGTAAAATCCTACCCCCGCCGAGGGTATTTTGGTCTATTCGCTGTCAGGGACTTGCGTGGCGTGCGGCGGTTGGCTCGTGCGGCTATGGGGTGGGGGAGGGCGGCGGCCCATTCGTTCGTGCTCTCATTCATCCCCCCCCCCCCCGGTCTCTTTCTCTCTGGATCTCGTTTTCTCTCGTCGCCGCCGCTCCTCCTCCTCGATTCAAGGGCATGGATGAGGCATCACGTATATCGTCCACCTTGGAGTTGGTCTTGCCCCTCGGCCTCTTAACGCCTCGCCATCTCCACCACCGGCGAACTTGGCCGTCTTCTTGCCTCTCTTCCTTTGTAGCTCACGGTATTGATCCTTGAACTTTAGGCACATGTTGATGATTGTCCAACAATGCGTAAGAGTGAATGACTTGTCATAGTGCCGGGCCTTGAATGCTTCCAAAGATTGAAATGCCTACACCACAAGATCAAGAAAATTTGGACATGCAAACATGCACAAGGCCGAAGTAACTTGGCCGTAGCAAGGAAAAGAACTAGGATGGGGAGAGCATACCATGTCCCCAACGCCGAGACTAAATAGGCGCGCCATATTGATTGGCATTTCTTCAAAATCAACGTTGCTGAGAGAATACACGCCAATTTATTAAGCTCGCCATATTGATTGGCGCTTTCTTCAAAATCAAAGTGGCTAAGAGAATACACGCCATTTTATTAGGCGTGAGCTAGATCACGCCCCCGATCTAGCCCTACCAGAGAAGTGGCATATGACCACATCAAGGGGAATGCCCAAAATGTTGAATGTGATACTTGTTTGGATGATAGCCAATATATCTGCCATTTTTTTTTGCCAAATCATAGGCTTCATTTGTTTTCAGACCAACATATTTGCCATGTAGTGTATGGTTTGGCTTCAAAAATTCAGAGTATACATAACGAGCCCATAAAACAGTAGTTCATTAGAAGCAAAACTGAAGTGAATATAACATGAATCCGGTCGCGGTAACAATATTGTAAACAAGACAGACTGGAGCTTGCCATCTGCATGTTTTAATCCATATATCAAGTTGCCTATATCATCAGCCGAAAAATATAAAGTAGCCTATATCATTACTTTGAAGGAAGTCTGTCCGGTGCCGCCCCTGCTTGCCTGGTCTAGAGCAGAAGGAAACAAAAAATATTAGGTTAAATGGCCCCGAAATGAATTTATAATAGTAAATAAAGATGTGGGCTTTGTACTGGACTTAGATTGGCCTTTAGTATTTCTCAAAACAAATAGGACGTGGGCAAGCCTATGAATCTGTTTATCTTTTGACAATTCTTCTGCACGGTCAAAGGAAAGAGATATGCAACATGTTTTGCAGACCAAGCTGCCCTGTATTCTGTAGGCACAAACTGCCCTGTATTCTGTAGGCACAAACGCCATGGTCATATCACAGCATAATGTATACACAGGAAAATTCTACATGGAAAGAACTGAACACAACTCGAGAGCAAAGACCATCCCATGTTTATAGCTCAGACTCGTGAATTTTGTTCTCCATGATTTAGAGAGAAACATTCACATCTTACTATGTTTCTCATTATCTGCATCCAACCAACCAACGGAGACGCCAATCACAAGCCCCAACCGGTTTATAGTTTCATAATCTAGTAGTGCACCAAATCGAGAGAAGGCAAATCACATAAGAAAAAAAGTTAAATTACAGTGGCCATTAAAAATGGAACTGACAAACAAGACAGTGGCATATTTTTCAAATGACTACTGATTTTGGTACTTCAAAATTATGCTAAGAAACCAGACCATGTACTGCTACCTAGCTAGTGATGATTAATTTCTTACCTTCAGCCTCTGCCTTTTACCTTGAGCAGCTGACACCAAAATCAGTACCTGTAAAACAACCCCTAAACAATTCAGCGTAACCGAGAAAAGAGAAATGAAAGGAGGAAATCCTTAACCAGCAGAGGAATTAGCTCATTAGCAGTATATTCTGTAGATACCTATTCGAGATAGCAGATAAAATTTCTTTTTTTTTTTAAGATATGATAGTTAAGATAGCACCATCCAGCAGAAATGAAACACACAATTCAGTGCAACGAAAAGAAGCCTGCATTGTAAAAATTCTCAGATATTGTTTTCAGAATTGCAGCAATGTTACAAGCATATAAGCTATCAAAGCACCACGTGTACATTGAAATTAAAGAAACGGTAATTCTATTCTACTCGGCGTTGAACCTCCTCTCCCCAAACAGAAACGAAACACACTATTCTTCAGTGTAAAATTCTTAGGGATTGAGTTGAGTTCAGACACTGGCATGCTCTTGTTACAACAATATGCAAACTATGCGGCCAGGATGACGAGACTCTCCACCACCTCCCCGTTGGGTGCGTTTTCTCGCGCATCATTTGGCATGGCATCTTGGCCTGGTGCCGCATGCCCGCAATGCCGCCCCGATGGCGACACCGACTTCTTCGAATGGTGGACGGCGACAAAGACAAATGTGCCGGCAAGCCCTCACAAGGGTCTCGACTCCCTAACCATCCTCACTTCACGGGCCATATGGAAGCCCCGCAACGCATAATGACGAACATCATTCGAAGAAGTACCCCTACTTCTCGTATGAACCCCTTTCGTTGTACATGTATCAGGAAGAAGGCGAACAAATTTGAAGTCAGAAAGCAAGTTTTCGTGTAATTTTTATAAAGAATGTCTAAAAGCTATCTATCATAGTACCTATATATACTGTTCCACTCGTATGAACTGAAATGGTTGTAAACTCATTAAACTTTCTCCACTGCAGCGTTGCTAAAAGAGGAAGAGTACTTGCTGCTAGCTGCACATCAATACTGATTTGAATCCAAAAGTTGAACTTATGTAAATACATGACAAGGCTGGTTCTAAAAGGTACGTAGAACGCCGGAGGTTTCAGGAAGTATTGGGTGGCATATATAATACACAAGCACGCAAATAAATTCAAAAGGTGATGCTACACAACGAATTATGTTACCCCATTTACCCCATTGGCATCATTGGAAGCTGCATGCTTATGTGTTGGGGAACCAGATCAACGCAACGGAAGTCATAATATGAGGTTCAATTTAACGGTACTAAACTTGCCTACAAGAACAATTTTCACCAACTTAACACATATGATCTGAGTGTTGACGAATCTGGTCGCACCCACAAAGGTTCAGGTAGCCGGGTTATCCCACAAGTTATAGTTTCCCTGAATTATCCGCGTGCAATGTCCGACCGATAAAATGGTGTACCAAAATAATGAATGGTTAGACAAACAGATTCTGCATTAAAAACCACAGAGCAGGCCTAGGTGTGGGATTGCTGAAATGAATAATGGCAACATCATACAAATTTACACCCTGTTCGTTAAAAAAGGTGTGGAGTATCCTTGAGAATCTTTTAGAGGGGATGTAATTCTTGTGATGTCCTAAACCTTGTAATTCTTGCGGCCAGCATACACACAGAGAACAAAAGAAATTTGCATCTGATACAGAAAATGCGTGTCTAAATTCAGGCACACATAATCTTACCCCAAAACGAAGAAAACTGAAACATATACACATGATATTCCTGTAAGAATGTGCCAAGAATTAATATCAAGTATGAAAATGCATGGTCAGCAGATGAAACAAACACAAACCATTCAATCAGGTGAAAGTAGCGGAACCCAACACAAACCTGGACGGGCTTCCTCAATGTCCTCATCGGTGCCATTTTCCGAGTGCCTCTGGTCTCCGTTGGTGCGGCCATCGGCCACGGCGAGCGAAACGGGCAGAGAAAGGAGGATGGGAAAGAGGAAAAGGAGGATGGGGGAGGAAGGAGGGGCGACGACCGAAATCGCAGCGAGCGATCGTAAATATTTTTATTACTTGGGGAGGTGTTACCCGGGGCTGGTATTTCTATCGACACAGTAAAATCGCCCCGCGAGCGCCATTGTGGCGACGGTTAATGAGTTTGATGATGATTCTCATTATGTGTATCACTCGCTCATCACTTGTTTGTCTCAAAGGAAAGGATCCAAGGCATACATACACCACCACAACGGAACAAAACAAAAAGCTAGTAGGTCACAAACCTAACAACATTTTTCTTTATATATAAACACTCGCACGACCGCACAAAAAAAGCTACACATGTAAGTCATCTTCACCACCACCAATCCGCTTCCTTCCTTCCCAGGTAGTGCTTACTGTAGTAATAGGATACATCTCAAGGATACAAGAGAACCACGATTACACGCTATGGCAAACACAAATTATGATCGATCGATCGATGCTACTAAGGGCCCAAAAGAATACAATAATACAGTGCTTCCTTTTCTCCGGTGCAAGGAGAACCCACCCCGCCAGCCCCTTCCTTCCTGCCCAGCCGTTATCATACCTTCGACAGCGCTTCGTCGTCGTCTTGGTGGCAAGATGGATGGAAGCTTCTGGGCAGGGCAGTGTTAGATCCTCAAGATGAAAAACTACTGCAATGTACGTCTGACAACTGTTTGTTCCAGCATCCGTCTGGTTTCATAGCAACCCAGCTAGCATGGCACCAGGGTCGTTATATGTTGTCGCCGGCGCTGCTGGAGGCATTTGTGGTTGTTGCGGAGCGGGAGGGGGGGCCACTCGAGCCCTCGGGATGTCGATCAGATGTTCCTTGATGTACTCCTTCAACCTGTTCAGCGGAAAATAAGTACGAGATCAACATTTGTTTTTCTTTCTAGTGTAAGCCATAACCATGAATGAATTGCTGCTGCTGCTGGCTGTGGAGGTGAAAGGAGGAAGGTATACTCGAATGTCAGGTTTTGATCTCCTGATGCGACTGTTAGCCGGAGCTGACTTCTGTCTTGGGGATCTGTTTCAACTCTCACCTGCAAAATGCTCAAAAGGCATCAGATTATATAGAAACCTAAAATTTATAACTAGACTAGATGAAATCATAGCTTAAGACAAAACTCAAGATGACACCCCAAGTACTAAAATGGGACAGCACATAAAAGCATGCATATTTCAAGGATTAGCTAAGAATTTATCCTAGCTAATGCTCCATGTATCAGAAATATTGAGGTGTAACGTTGTCCTACATGGTAGTAGTTGTTAATAGGACAATTTCCTAAGAGATTCAGTGAACCAAATGAAGCCGCTGTACATGAGTACTCAACTATACATTACGCTAGCTAGTACGAAGGATGATGCACCATAAGCTGCATAGTAGAACAGAGATGCACCGCGTCACCAGTAGCACAAGAGGCTAGAAAAAAAAACCCCACAAAAGCCACGATGCTCCATTCACCCTATCCTGGGATCACATGCACGGTCTTCTAATTTTCTATTGGGCTATTTGTCATGTTGAAATGTATCTTGAATAATGGCAGGCATGTACTGGTTTGTGCAGTCAACTTGGCTTGAGCTTCTTATCTTACGTCTAACCCAACGGTGCTAGCTAGTCAACATATTGTGTAGATAACGGACATGATGCCAGAGTAGCTCAGTAACTGAGAGACTGGTTGTATACAACAGCTTAGTTTCTTCCCAGAGGGATACCCAAACAAGCAATTCGATGGACTGATCGCCAGGATATTTACCAGACAAAGCGCGGCATTGGTTGTCTCCGAAAAGAATGTAGCACACGCCACCATGTTGTTCGGGTTGGTATCCTAGTAAAACGAACAAGTTCAATAATTCGAAATTAAAGAGCTAAAAAAACATGGGGGAATGGAGCAACATACAAGTCCAGGAGTAACTGCCAGGTGAAGGCTCAAGAGAAGACTAGCCATCTCAGGAATAGGTAATGGTTTTACACCTCTAACCTGTGTGTTCACATAAAAAAAGGGGTTCATTAGAAAGGCTGATCCAGTAAGCCCTTAATCAAGTAATGCTGATGATCACTGATAACACAGGTGAGTCCTTACCACTTCTTGAACCTTGAGTGACTGAACATTCCATGTTTTCCAGTGGGCGAAAAAATCTTCAGGGGAAAGAGTTATAGGTTGCAAGAATTTATGCAACACAATAGGAAGTCGAAGTTTAGCGTTCACCTGAGCAAGCAAAGCAAATACACTGCTGTTACATTGTGAGAAAAACAAAAGAATATCTGGACTCTCAGGAAAAATGATGGCGTAAAACAATCACCAGTGCAGCTCCATGTTTATATGAGAAATCAAGAACAGCAACATCTCTACTCGCGCGGAGATTTGTAACCTCGACTGGGATTTGCACCTGAAGAACGTAGAAAAACGAAAATGAGATTAATTCAGGAAAGAAAACATGGAAAATGTGGATTGTACTGCAGCGCGTGGTACCTGTGCTCTAGGAGGAATAGTGTCAGGTACTGACGAGAGTTCCACTTTAAAATGGCTAGGAGGCAAAATCAAAGCCCGCAATGACAAAAGGGGCGAAGTATTTTTATTCCCCAGGAAAAGAATGAGACGACCATGATGGGCCCGCCACTCTGCTTTTAAACCAATCTAGAGGTAGGGGAAAAGACCACACAGAGGGTTCAGGCAGCAGAAATAAGAAATGCTCGAAAGGAGGAAAAAAAATTAACGACTTCTGCAAACCTGGATGTTAGGATCCTCATACAGAACTCCACTATCTTTCGTGCACAATATATTGAACTTCTCCTCAACATTGACAATTGGCTGTAGAAAGCAGAGCTGGTCAGCAGAAGAAAGCAACCAGCGCATATAAAACTGAATGACAGTATTGACATATTCTGCTGATGCCGCCACTCAATAGTGAGCATACAGCCATGCATGAAATAGTTCCATATAAAGACACTAATGTTATGAGAAAGTATTGTAATACCTGAACAGAGTTGGACTGGTCCTCAAGGGTAGCCAGTGCCAAGTCACCTACTGGACTTTGATTAGCCTCCAATCCTTGAGCAGGAGTTTGCTCTACAGCAGCAGGAGGACCCTCTATTGCAAGAGGGCCCAAAAGGTCTGCAAGGAGGTCTGCTTGAGAAGCAGGACGAGATGCAGGCGGCTCAACTTTACTAACAGGAGCGGGCTCAGTGATGATCTCAACATTTCTCTGAACTTCGACGGGAGCACCATTTTCTTTTGGAGCTTCTACCGCGGTTTCTTCATGAATGACATTGCTCTCCTGAATATCATAAATATTGCTTTAAATGAAATTCACGAATGATGCCTAATGTATTTCATAACTAAGTAAGAAGGTCATACTTCGGCAATGTTTTGACTTGGCATCTTCACAAGGGTGAGATGATTAGCAGCCGGGGCTGGTCCGTTTACAGGGGGCTGAGCAGCTACAACAATAGCACTGGATGATTGTTGCTGACTTCGTAGTTTTATGGCACTCTGCTCTGCCGTGTCAACTTCAGCATCTTCAGCCTTTTTCAACAGAGCAGACTAGAGTAGACATGCAAAATGCATAATCAGGAAGTTAAACATGAATCCTTCTTGATTAATAAAATGAATTCAATGAAATAGAGCATAACCAGCAAATATGAGTACACAATACACAACTAACAGGTAATCAGGATACATGTTTACCTCACGTTCAGGAAATTTCGGCATTTCAGCCAATACGTCAGCCAAAGCAGGACCCTTTCTGCTTAGTTCAAAATATTCAACTGCTCGCTGCTGAATCTCAACATCAATATAACTCTCATGCCTGAAATGTAATGTAAGCGTAAAAAAAACTTCACAGACATACAAAAGGTGGCATGTCATCAAAGAAGAATGAGTAAACTGGTACTTTTTAAATATTGCCAGGATTTGTTGCTGCAGTCCCGCATCAGGAGGCTGAGTGTGCATAAGTATCTTGGCATAGGCTGAGATAATAATAGCAACAGTACTTGACCTGATGAAAAATCAGAGAATTAGAATTTTACATCAGGGCAGAAAAAAGAAGTTACTCAAGGAAGTGCTTTACAACTTACGATACTGTTGGGAGCCTGTCATTTATAATGGTAAACAACTCCTTGGGGCTACAACTAGGTCTTTGGGCCAAAAGGTGGCCATACTCTCCAAGAAGGTAAGCACTGACCTGTATTGTTACGAGAGTAGGATAATGTGAAGTAGAACACCATACAGACTACAGACAAGAAGGGTGGACACTTGGTAGGCAGATTGGATTCCTTTATGACAGACAAATAGAAGGCAGAACGAAAAGTCCAAGTTTAAAGGAGGTTGATCATGGATAAAGGTAGGTTTATTTATTTATCAACAGACTTTACTGCTAGTTAAAACACAGATTTATAGTGGGGCTCTACAAATTAAAACAATCAAGCAGTCCTGGAAAATCAAACTTCATGGTATTAGCACAACAAGTTCAGGTCATGTAAAATACCTTGACCATGGTCTCATGCAAAGCGGGCTTGTCAAGGTATTCCCTCGCCTTAGCTGCAGCATATGCCTGAGAAAATTACGAGTCAAACATCAGGTCCATCAAACAGTAGCGAGAAGATTCGGCGGAACTGGAATCAGAAATATGCAAGAACCTGAAGATCCTCATTGTTGGTGACAAATTGTACCACTCGATACCATATATCATCACTTACAAAATCTCCTGCTTTGTCTATCAACTGAAGTATAACATCAACATACCTACAGAAACAATAGTTTAGATATGGCCAACACTTCACAATGACCTGAAGCTACAGAAATACAAAATCAGCATAAATTAGTGTGTTCTTCTCTCCAGTTATTACTCTACACAAAGTGCAGCAACCCAATGCGGAAATATGAGGTTTGTAGCTCGGTCATGGTAAACCCATTTTAGGTGAACAGCTACTTGATCGGGTTTGCAGGTTACTGGCTATGCATGCAAAATACCACATCATGTATGTAACAAATACATGCAAGACAATTTAACTTCCAAGTTCAATGCCAAGCCAAACAGTGAAATATGGTCTGATCCTGTCGAAGAAATTCCTTACCATGAAAGATTTGGAGCAAACTTCTCTGCAAGAATGGCTGCCTTCAGAGCCAGCTCTTCACGCATTGCAAATTCAGCTGTGTTAAGATACTGAGAAAAACGAAGATAAATATATTAAGAACACAACAGTAAGTGTTAAGAGGTGCCTACTTGGAAAGAAAATAAAAATCGTTTGCAGGACCATTATCACAACATAGGTTACCTGCAACAACTCCTCGACAATTTCCTTTGCATTTGTAACATCACACATGCCATACAGCAAATCAAGAGCCCGCCTTCTAATGCTGCACGACAGAAAACACATAAATATAAAGCACAGAATACACCAAGTGTAGATCAAACAAGTGAAAACATACTGAATTAACAAAGAGCTGCTGACAATATAACCACAATATGAAAATCCATATTCCATCAAGTATCGGTGACCATACTGGTTTTGAGCTTTTCACCCCTAACGCCTCTTAAAACCATAAATTGTTGTTATCAGTTTATCACTTTATGTAAGTCGCGCATGGAGCACTCCTCAGATGAAAACATGTACTCCTTGGTGTGTTATGTTGTTTAACTAAGTGGCCCGTGTACATAGCTGTGCTCCTTGTGTTAACCACTCAGTAATGATGGAGCTTAACACATAAGTGTTGTTCTATTTTGAACACTGGGAGGGAGGGAGAGAATAGTAGAAGGCTGGTGGAGAAAACAGGGTTGCAAATGAAGCCAAAAAATATAAATGTCTGTCTAAAATCAATCATCACTTTAGTAGAAATTGTCTAATGGTGCTTCATATTTTAGAGAAACTGTTTTCAATGTAGTCAGATTCTAGGTCCAGCAAATCGTGAATGTATCTCTCAGGAAGGAAATCAAATAAAATGTTCAAATAACAATTATCAATACAAGGTATGTACTCAGGTTTGCCTAAAGTAACAAATAACATTAATGATTCAATTAGTTGCAAAAGAAATCACAAATTAAATTCAAATGGTTTGGCTACACAGAAGGAGTGAAATTATGCAGCGGGATACTCTCCTACATTGAAAAAAAAAGGTGAAGAGTTCCAAACTATCAACCTTAGGTCAAAAGTGTGATTTGGGTATCTGACTGGTTTGAACTCTTTCAAATGTCATTATTTTTCCAGGGTTGAGTTTATAATATGTATGCAACCAAAGAGGCAAAGATGCTGGAAAGGCCTCATGTACCTGATATCTGGATCCTTCAAAGAAGTAATGATCTGAGCCTGGTGCCTTTTAATTATATCCTGTACATCTGTTACTAACAGCATTCTACTCATGTTCTCCTGTGATGATGAATGGAGTAGTGTTACATTATAATAAAATTTACACTTCTAATGCAACACTGGGACAGATGGCATAAATCAAGTGAAAGCACTGTTGCAAAGAAACACATTTAGCCACTTACCAGACCAAGATACCTAATATTTGGCTCCCTGACAGCAATAAACTTGCCGAGAAGAGCCACACATTGGGACATCATCTCCTTTTCAGCATCAAGATGCATAACCTGTAATATGATGAAAAAAAGTATTGCACAACAAACTTTCATAAGGAAGAGATGCTTAAGTATAAGAGGCTATGGAGATAAAAATAAGAACGTAAAAGGTGATGTGGGAGAGGAAATGACAAGGCAAGTTGCTACAAAAGGAAAACAACAATATAAGCCCAAAAGAGAGTACGAACCCACCAGAGCAAGAGCTTCAAAGAGAACAGCATGTGAGGCATTATTCTTGTTGACGTTTTTAACAACATCAGTGCCCATCAAAATACGTTGTAAAACCTACAGAATGACAATAACCATTATAACCCATGACCTATTTGTATATGTAGAGTACAATAGTAAAAGGAGGTGTACCTCAAACAAAGCTCGCCTTGCACTAGGATCCTCAATGGTAGGGAAGTACTGAAGAGCTCTCATTGCCTTAACCTGAAGTAATAATAAAATTAATTTTTAAAACAAATGATTGTGCAGAAAAATTGCATCCAACATGCACATAAGGTACAGATATTTCTTTGAACAACCCAGCATAAAAAGTACATGGTGCATGTGACATAATTCAATTTTAAGAAGACAATTGAAATAATGTGTTCTGCCAGTGCCGCACAAGCATTGCGTAAAACTACAATTCAGACTTTATGTTGTTCTTCCCACTAAATAACAGCAGAACGAAATGTTCCAACCATCGCAACTCCACCAGCTTTGAGTTTATAAAATCATATGATTTTGTTGCTTACTTGGCATTCACATGAGAGAATATGTAATATGCATTTCTTGCTTGTGAAATGCAGCTTAGCATTATAACCTAAGCCACATCCCTAGTAGATGCTTCATAATTCAAATCACATATGCATACTGCAACTCTGGAGATTAAAAGTATTATGATAACAAATCAGAGAAATAAGCACACAGCTATTATATATTACTCCCTCCGTCCCATAATATAGGACGTTTTTGCAGTTCAAATTGAACTGCAAAAACGTCTTACATTATGGGACAGAGTAGTATTATTTTCTTCAAGCACAATAGCAGGTAACAAACATAAATGAAATAAACCAATCGTGCAATTAAATCAGACATCCAGTATTTGCAAGACCAGCTGAAAAAATATCACAAGTACGCAATCAAAGTTAAAGGAGAACAAGATTTCAGCAGATTGTGACCAAATAGATTCAATAATCTCAGTACAAATTTATGAAGGCCTAACTTTTAACCAAGCTGAGTGAGCCAAGGAAGGAAAAAAAAACCTGAAGCCAAGGAGATGGTATTCCGTAGTAGGTGTATTCTTGAGGAATATCTTGATTTCTTGCCATCCTCTCCAATATTCGTACACACTTTGGGAGGCAGTTCCAGTATGCTTCAGCATTATTAGATACTAGTGAAACAAAAAGGCTCATGACAGATGTCAGCACACCTAGATCACGCTCATCTAGAAGTTGTGCCATCCGATCAGACCTGACATATGAAATGCAATTCGCTAAGCAATTGTGTGGAGTGGGTAATAAAACTTCATGTTCTGTTATGTTAGTACCAGCCATCGATATTCACAACATCTGGGTTCTTCCTATAAAGTCGCAGAAGGCATAGAGCAGCCTTCTTTCTGACTACAGGTCGGCAGCTACTTGAAATCTGATGAGTCAGATGTTTCATTAGTCCAATTGCTCAAATGAGAAGGAAAAGATGAGCGAAATATTGTCCACTTACAAGAAGTTTCTGAACATCAGGGGCCAATGACTCAGAAAATTCTTTCCCGCCAATATTACCTACCTGAAACAGATTTAATTAAGGAAACATAGATAAAATAGCGGGTGTAAATTTTTCTATTTTATAAAATAGCTCTAAGTAATGTACAATAATAAACGCCATTTCACAAAGCTCAAAATGAAGTAAATTGTTGCAACAATACTGGTTACTTTTTTCAGTGCGTTTCAGATTTTGGTTGTTTAAATTCCTTAGGGGTAGTTTTTGTGTCATGATCTTCTTTTGCATCACTATCTTTTTCTGCTATCGAGTCACATTTTGTAAATGCAATGCGTGATGTATGCAATAGTTAGAAAAGGATGTTTATTATAGTATCCGGTTACATATTTGCAAGGCAGTTCTATATTTTATAAAATTTGTTCAGAATAAAATGCCCACGGAATAAAAAAAAATCAAAAGAAGATGCTGAGTATCCAAGAGAAAAACAGGATGACATACCATCGTCAATGCTAAGCATTGATAAGTCTCATTTCGTCCTATTATGTCATTGCGTACTGTATTTATGACCATCCTTAGAAAATCGTTATTCTCGTTAAGTAAACAAGATGTCACGATGTATCCAACCTGCAGCACAATCAAAAGGTAGCAATTAGGAAACAAATTGTACTACTGGAAAGGAGAGATAATTGAGAATTTCAAAGATGTGGCTTTCACCTGTTTCTCAGGATACTTCGGCGCGGATATCAAGGAAACAGTTTCCATATGCCCAAAGTCAACATCGTAACCCAGCATATGTATATAAAGCATCTTCCAAACATACTTTTTCTTCTCATAATGCGACAATCCCTACAAGATGGCAGATCATGGTGCTTTTTAGTAAGATTGATTTCTCTGTGTCGCCTTAACTGTTGCACTGCATGCAGACAGTGGCGGTGCGAGCAATACAGCCCTATGGGGTTAAGCGCACAATTAGCTATAAATTTTACGGTATTTTAAGTATTAATTTCACAAAATTTCCGCCAGCATAACTTGGTTTTGCAAAAACGCTGTTGGTCAGATGACCCTGCATGCCTAACGAGGCCAATACCATTTTGTAATTACAATCGTACATTTGTATATACAGCTGGCCTGACATAAAGTAAGATGATATGTCAAAAAATATGGCAGATCTTTATTATGCGACTCTACAAACACCTGATATGTGCAAGATGTATGCTCATGTCCATCTGTATATGGATGAGTACCATGCAGCTAGGAAAGTAGGGACTAATAACTAATTGCTATATTATTTGGCAGTTTCCGTATGCTTAGGGAGAACTCCCGCCTCTGTAATGGGGGCCATCACACCTTTTGTAATCCAACATGAATTAATCAAGTTAATACAGTATATTTCTTAGTCTAGCTTAGGAGTATTTCTTAGTCCAGAATTTTGATTACTCATATACACAACAGTACATACTTCATGGAGAGCATACATTTTGACAGTATTGAATGCAGGGTTGATCCTAGCTAGTCCAACACACAGAACTGGACATAAATCAAAAGATTAGCTCGTGGCATCGTAAGCCGATAGTGCGCTTTGCAGCCATTATCTTCCACTGTCAGTTTAGTACAGTGGGTGTGTCTATGGTAAAGTGTTAGCAGGTGGTGATGGCACAACCCAAGGCGATTGAGCTTCGCAATGTCTGCCCCAGCAGCTCGATCCCCTTCAAATAGCTGTGCCCCAGCAGCTCAATCCCAACCCCCAAACTAGTGCTACTGGAGGCAATCGTCGCTACCATTTGTTTCACAGTTGCATCTGAAGTTTGCACCGCAGCAGAGCAAGCAGAATCCAACAAAGTCAGATAAGGCTAGCTACCATCCAGCAGCCATTTCGAGACTAGTACTAGGACGAGGAGGAGGAGGAGGAGGAGTCAGACCCAATTCGCAGCTCCGTGGTTCTCGTGGAGCGGAAGCAGGCCTGAATTCCGCCGCCCAGATCGCGGGCGAAATGGATAGGGGGAGAGGAGGGGAAGGGGATGGAGTACCTTTTCGTTCTTGAAGCGGGTGCGGATGTTGCCGAGCTCCTTGTCGACGCGGAGGCGCTCCTGCTCCTTGTTGTGGCAGTTGCGGATGTCGCTGATGAAGACGGACAGCCCGCGCATCCCCGACAGCGCCATCCCCGACCTCTCTAGGCCCAGATCTGCGGGGCGCCGCGCGAGATCTGGCCGCTCTCTCTAGGAGGCCGCCTGGCCGCGGGGGCGCCGGGGCGGATCGCCGGCGGAGGTGGGAGAGACGACCGGCGACGGCGGGGAGGGGTTTTGATTGGTCGCGTCCGGCGCCGTGGTTTGATCTGGCTGCCTCCGCGCTGGCTGCCTGCCTTTTTCCTCCCTCCTCCTCCCCAGTCCAGTCTCTCCTCTCCTCCTCCAAAGAAAAAAAAAGGGCCTGGTTGGTTGGGCCGACATTTTAAAATGCTTGTGAAGGTTGACCCCTGAGGGCCTTTTAATTTAATTCAAATCAAGCGATTTTCACAAGAAGGTTTTAGTTTCGTTGTAGGGTGAAACGGACAATTAAAGTTGGCCATCTTTGCATGTGCTCGGCTTAGCACATGCATTTACTCCATGGTCGAGACTAATCGGATTCGGTACGTTTCACGTGAACACTAGCTAGAAGCGCACGTGCTCGTCTTGCCACAATTGAAGTTTGAGGCTACAATTCCTAGGGAGCCAATTGTCTCTCCAAATATTGATACTCGCTCCATCAACCACCCTCCAAATGACATCAGTTTTAACCTGGTCCAGTCCATGCATAATACCTTAACAAGTCACTGTGTCTTATCAATCCAGTCAGAAAGTCTTTTCACTAGTAGAGCGCTCGTGCGTTGCCACGGGCTACCGTGCATATGAATGAATCAAACAAATGATTAACATCATTTCAAGGTTGAAACTTATTTCTCCCTCATACGCCAGACGGGTCTAGACATCAAACAGATGTCCACTCCCCCAAATCCAACCATATTTGGGGAAGAAATGTGGTTGTCCAAACACTCGGTCCCAACAAAAAAACCCAACCCACCTTTCCCTTTTCTTGCCAGACCCCTCCCCTTCCCTCTAAACTTTCCAAACTAGCGGAACATTTTTCACTGAGGCCCTCTCTTATAAAACCGGATGACGCCAACCTCACCTCCTATATCTAAAATTGCTTTTATGTCACAAATTTACCAATTCTATGCTCTAATCAAACCAAATGATTGGGCATATCAAGTTGGAACCTTAATAAATGAGTAATACAAGAATTATTCCCGCAAAAAAGAAAGTTGGAACCTTAAGTTTCCCTTCAACAAAAGTTGAAGCCCTGAGCTAAATACGAGAACCTAAAGAGACAACATTTAAAATGTTCGAGGTACCGGGGAAACCATGTAATGCCTAATAAACAAAGATCTAGCTGAAATAACAATATTTGATTAATATTGCATTGATACAACAATCAAGAAAATATAAAAAGAAAAATTAAACCGCACATCCTATGAACAAATCAGGTTTCATGTGGCTCACATGGCAACTTGAGCTTATTGTTGCTATCGTTATAACTGAGAAGTGCAAACTTTAAATGTCACTTGACCAAGAAAGGGAAGTTCAAAAACCAATTAATAATCGTAGTTGCATGTCACTATCCAAACTAAACCGGCGTTAGCATGCAACCGGGCGTTACAACATGGGACATATCGGTAAAATGTTAGCATGGCAGCGAACACAGTAAGAAAACATGCAAGGAGCATGCAAGTTTTGACCATCTCACCACGTCCTGATTGAGATGTTGGAACCGTAGACCTGTTGTGTAACAGAAAAGAAGGCAAGTTCTTCCATGAATACTCGTATATGATTGAATATCAAATCTAGTATTTTTTGGAAGGCAGAAACTTGCAAGATAAAATTAAAGATGCAAGTACTCCTCCTTTCCTCCCTCCATCCTTTCTCAGCAGCAGTACAACACACCCATCCATCCATTTCAGACACAAAGTACATACAAGTAACACCAGCACCGGGGAAACTCCCCCAACAAGCTATCTTGTACTCCCTCCGTAAACTAATATAAGAGCATTTAGATCACTAATTTAGTAATCTAAACGCTCTTATATTAGTATACAGAGGGAGTAGCTATTGCATGATTCACTAAACGCTAACAAAAGTTCATGGACACAAGAGAAGGTCGTTTGTTTGGGCAAGGGGTATGGCGTGGATGGATACAACAAAGTCGTGCTTCGTCAATCATCTATACCTCACGTTCATGTCAAGCTCAGGCTCATACATGCCGCCACCCAGCATAGGGCCAGCTATGGCTGGTGTATCCGCTTGGATCTGGCTGTAAGCTCCGTCTTTTTTGCGAGGATCTGGCTGTAAGCTCCGTCTGCACAAGCCTCTTGAAGACCTCTGCGTGTTTGCCTTGCACATCTGGACCCAGTGGACCTACATAAAGGGCATATATACTATGTTAGAATCAAACATGCAGCCAGAGTTGTATCATAAATAAATTCAGGAAAAAATCAAACATGGACCGGATGGACCTACATAAAGAATGCTAAGCGCAAACATAATATTGTACCTTTTAATATGCAGGACGAAGATGTTAAATGGAGCTTTTAATAATGTTCTATCACATTCAAATCTCTACTCGAGTATTTGTCATATGAGTATTTAAAAGTTTTTTTAATTTGAACTTTAAATTGTTATTACAAGTCACTTTTACTTTTTATATATCTTCAAATAGACCTCTCAGCACTCATCGGGGACATGTATTTTTATTTCTCACAAATATATTCAGGAGGTTTAACTTACATATAGCCCCTGCGAAATATGCATGATTAGAACAGATGTATACCTTGTTGGATTGCATATCTGGCCATTTTATATATGCAGCATATTCGGTTATTTGAGATCTTGCCATGTGGTTCACCTTATCTCTTCTTTTAATCTTCATGCAAAGGCATGATATTGAGTACATGAGTGTTATTTGCAGATATTGATAAAGTTTGACTGTTCAAATATATGAAGCTTTTATACAATGGAAGTTGCATCTGTTGAATTACTTGCGTATTCTTATATTTTCCAAAATATTGTAATATAGAAAAAAAAAGTACTTGGCTAGTCATACACGATTGAGAAAAACGGACGAATACAGAAAACACAATCATGGGTGTTGTATGCCCCCATACCTTACATGGTTGATGATCTGGCTGTCGAGTGGTGCTAGAAGTTCTCCACTCTCTAGCAGGTATTCGCCACCTTGCTCATCGTTGCGGAAGTCAACGGCATCGTCTCTCCAAGTATGTGTTCAATTATATCAAATTACAACATCTCTGGATTCATTAAATCTCTGCTCAAGAACAACAAGTTGCATGACACAATTATGGTCATCTTCAGAGAAAATATATGCAAGCGCCAATGCAAATTGTACATACCTTTAATTCACCACAACCTTGCTGGCAATGTCAGTGATTTTCAAGTTCTTTGGAGGTCCCACGTGGGCTCATGGTCTCAACATGCTCGTCAATGGTTTGTTGATGTAGACTATAAAGCAGTGCGCATGCTCTGATCCTATCTCGGTGTTCTTCTCGATGCAAATCACAAATTTCAAGTGATGTATTTCCTTGTACGTGTGTGTAATTAATCAATCTAAGGACTATATCTGGTTGTAGCCTTGCAGGTGGAGCGGTGTTTCATCTCACACTTTGATGGCGGCGGAGATCGATGGCATGGCGCTGTGGAGACTCGGCGTCCGATGTGCGGAGATGGGCTCGCGCAGGAGGAGGTTGCTGTCTGGCGTCATGGTGACGTCGATGGCTGAGTGGCCAGACAAGGTAGAAGCCTCAATATGATCTGAAGACCTGTGGAAGATGGCGGCGACGACACACGAGTGCGTCTGACCGGATTGTGCCCCAGACCCGGTATGTGGCTCGGCTGGGGCCTCCGAATGAGTTTCGGCTTCCAGCTTTTGATGTTAGGCTTAGGTGAGTGGTTTGGGTAGTGGCCCAGCTAGCACCCCTTCATCATTTTGGATAGGAGTAGCGGCATATGTTGCCAAGATGGTGGATTCAGGCACATTGTTGTAATACTTTGTAAGGTCCTCGAGAATAATCAATAAAGTGGCCATATGCATCTCCCAGATGCAGAGGCCGGGGGTCATCCTCCTTTTCTAAAAAAAACTGAGTAGAAGACGCAAAAAATGCATTTACTATGCTTCCTCTTTCAACTAAAAGGAGGAGTTGATTCAATCAAATGTCCACACATGCTAATTTGAAGGCTTAAGAACTCTCTATTCTACTAAAAACCATAAGAATTACAAAGAGAACATATAGGACAAACATGTATGTCTAGAAGGGGATTGGAGCCTTTCTTGTGTGATGCTAAGATCTAAAACCACTCTTAGCTTAGACATATCCTACTTCTAGTTTTCTGATCCAACGGGGGAAAACATGATCAATTATTTCCAAAAGCTAACCATATAAGCAAGGCTAAAAGGAGCTCATTAGTACTGCAAGGTTGATCTAATCACATTATCAACTACTAATGCAAATTTCGAACAGTAAAAGCAACCATTATGTTGTAGAAACGGACAATACTATTTTAACCCTGAAACATGATTTGCAGACTCGGATTATAGTGTCAAATACAGGTTATAGGATATTGGTTGTAAGACGTTTGCCACAAAAACATTCAGTTTTCATCTCTAGGCTCTAACATATAAATATGAACTAAATGACTTAAGCTGCAGGGAGGAGGAAGCATACTTGTCTTTACTCTAGAAAAAAATACATACCTAGTTGACACTATTGTCGATCAGTTCTCTAGCAACACTATAGCCACAATATTACAATTTAGTTCTATTACTGGTAAGGTTTTCAATTGAGCAGCTAACTGTAATTTTCGGAACATAATTGCTGGGGCCGCCCAAATTGGTGAGTCTGCAAACAGTGAACTAAAAAAGTCAAGGTAATAAAGATCTTAACAATATCCTTAATTTGTGTATCATATTCATAAAGGTGGTGATCAGAGTTTGTTAGAACCTTAGAAGATGGTTTAGACTTTGAGACTGCAATTGTTTGTGAGAAACAACTACTCCCTCTTCAGCGACACTTATTTTAGGACGAAGGGATTAAGCACGCGATAGCAACAAAAGAAAT